AAATCACAATCAAGATTCTTAAAAGGAGGACGGGTCCAAATTCTAACTGTCCAATCAAAACGTCACAGCTAAGGATGAAACCCACCAGATGGAGAATAGTTTTCCCAGTCTGTTTCTGTTCAACGTTGCTGATCCAGTTCAAATGATTGCTTAAATTTTCCATTTTAAGCTGACAAGATTGGCAGCCAATATGTTTTTCTGATGCTGTAACCCTTCTACTAGATATGTTTTTTTTCCTCCTCCTTTCAGACAATATTCCTTTCCCTTGCTCCATTTAAACTATAAAAATTATACAGTTATAATAAATGTTACACAAGTTATTTCAAACCAAGAGAATATGGATAGCAAAGGAAACATACAGCAATGCATACTCCTTAATGATGATGATGTCAAGGCATGGCTGCTAAATTCACTAATAAATTGGTCTATGTCTATATTTTACCACCAAACTCAATGTGTTGGGTGATCAGATGTGGTATCCTGCATATATTAGTTGTGTCAAGTTTTTATTAGAACTACCTTTGTCTTTTGTCTTGATCTACTTCTGTCCATTTAATGTCTGGCATCTGATTCCTTGTGGAAATCCCAACAGATCGACTATTTCTAGACAGTCTGACTCACATTAACAATGTTTAGCTCAAAGTAATTAATCTTTTTTTTTTTTCAATTCAAGCTTTTTCCACAAATATTGGCTACTGTAGCTGTTTGATCAAACATCTCCATTGTTCTTAGGATGTCTTCAAAGGTTAGATGAAGTAGAAACCAGAACTATGACAGAGATACAGAAAGGAGTTTGAAGAAATTAGCCGACTAAAACGTCCCTGGTGAGTTTGAAGCAAGACAAATTGGTCCAAGAGAACTAAAGCAGTGAGATTGGCAAAGGAATTACAAGATTGGAAGACTAAATGTAGACAGATGAAGATATTATTTGCAAGCCAAGAATTAATACCAAAGCACTCAATGGTAAATGAGAAATGTCTAAAAAAAAAAAAAGAATGCAACCCGCATCGTCAAACTAGTTTTTACACCCAGAGCTTTGTCTTAAAAATGAATGCACAGAATGAGTTAAAGCTTAGATTTAAACTACCAGTTAAGGTAAAAAGACGTTCTCCATCAAAGAGAGGCCCAGGAGATAGTCGAAGAGGTCAATGAAGACCAGTTACTCTAAAGCAGTCCAAGATGGTCTAAAAAAATGCAAATAACCAAATTCCATAACAATGATTAATCTACCAAGGTATTGATTCATTTCTTAAAGGTTTCTCTTAAATGGACGTATAAAACAAAGCAGCAGCAGGTTTGCTTCAATACAATCTATCTAATCTTGAGGGTGAATTCCTAACTTGAGGAAGAGTCCTAAAGACAGCAAGCAAACCTGAGAAAAACTTTGTAATATGTAAATATGCATATTCTGGTTAAGTAAACGTAGGCTACACTTAATGCTTAAAATAATACAGGAGGATAAGATACGTAAAAAAAAAGAAAAATAGACGAAAATACCTAGATGAAAGTCTTTGCACACACAGCCCGCTTGGAGTTGGTTACCAGTGCGACTTTTATTTAGAATGGTGACAATTATTATGACAGTAGCATTACAGGAATCCTGCGTCAAGGCAGCAAACTATGTGAGACACCTTTGCACATCATAAATACTTGCAACGCTGTGTAATGAAAACCCTATCATATATCTGATCAACCAACGGTTGTGGCTGTCAAGGGGATTGCTCAGGGTGTTAAATATCTAACCTGTCAATCAGGGCCTTCTAAAAAATATTGCCTCACAGTGGGGTGGTTAGATCTTGAAGTGGAGCAGAGATGCATGCTTCCTTGGTGCCTCTCTTGTGCTGGACAATCCAAACCAGCTAATATTCCATGCATCATCATCCACCAGCATGATCTCACCCCCCCCCGCCACACATTCTTCCATTGTGGATGTCCTCCAAGCAGTGCAAACGCAGCCATCCTTACACAATTACGCACTCCTGACACAGCTATTTATAGACATACGGTACAGTTTTCTACACCTTGTCTGCCTGATTAATCATCACATCTGATTTGTTTGGAATTAATCTGTTTATTTTTTTTTTTACTTTTAACATTTTTTCTGTGAGAATGAAAGTGTCCCTTTGAGCAAAAATAAAAAAACAAACAAAAAAAACATGGGTTTTATGCTCAACTGTCCACAGACCAATGCACCATTTTCATGAGCTAAACAGAAGAATATTTACAGCTTAAATGAACAAAGACTGTTTCTATATTTTTCGAATGAAAGCTACGGTGTTTTCTAAAATTGGCTATACTATACTATACTTTACTGTACTGTACTATACTATACCATACTGTACAATACTATACAGTACTATACTGTACTATACTAGTCTGTACTATACTGTACTTTACTGCACTATACTATACCATACTAGTACAATACTATACTGTACTGTACAGTACTATACCATACTGTACAATACTATACTGAACTATACCAAACTTTACTATACTGTACTACACTATACTATACTATACTATACCGTACTGTACAGTACTATACCATATTGTACAATACTATACTGAACTACACTATACTATACTGTACTATACTATACTATACTATACTATACTATACTATACTATACTATACTATACTATACTATACTGTACTGTACTGTACTATATTATACTATACTATACTATGTTACACTATACTATGCTACACTGCATTAGGCTAGACTAAACACTATACCAAGAGCAAAGCATCGAAATGAGCTGCCAAAACATGAATGAATGCATTTGTCTTTTTTGTGTTTGCATGTTTCGGACTTTGCATCATATGTGCACCTGCTTGCACCTGTTTTTATAGGTTCTTTCGGGGTTTTTTGCAGCATTTTTCTTTTGCATTTGTTTTTTGGGCTTGAGTGTTTGGGAAATAGCATCGTTTTCGTGGTTTGCACCTGTCGTCCACTGTATGTACCACTTTCATAGTTTCTACCAATCTTCTTCGTGAGGGCAGCTTATTTAATCTCAGTGTTCTCTATGCTTATTTTAGCTTATTTTATGCTTATTTGATCATGCATGCAAGATCTGACTTGCCTCTGATGATATTTTTTAATCCTATTGTGGTGATGGTTTTAATTTAATCTATAAATAAGCCTTTTCATAACATTAGCAGAAAAAAGCTCTTTTTCAGTTTGCATTATTCCAACATATTACTTGTTTACTTAACCAAGCTTGCAGTTGTTGCCTAATTTATTGAGATTACAGTATATATAGTTGCATGAGAATACTGTAATAATAAAAGGTCTTTAATTTCCGCTTTACACAAACCCCATATTTTTGGATATATTGCACTGGGGTAGAATTTTCTTTATTTTTTGCTTCAGTAAATGAGTCTCTGAGAAATACTCATCCAGTCTGCTGGAGTCCAACCACAACAGTTGTGCTTTGAAGTGTTATAATACAGAAAGATCAACATTGCAGCTGCAGGGGTAACAGCTTTGTTTAGATTTTTTTCTTTTGCCTCAAACTGAGAAAAAAAAAATGGTCAAAAATAACAGCCTAATTATTTCAATAAATGGAAAACCTCCAAGTTTTATTTTGGGACTATAATTTTACAAGGAATACTTCAATATTTTGGACTAAGCGTGAAACTTTGATCCTCCATTACAGAGAGAAGAGTATGCTTGCCTGCTTCACTCAATAATTTAAGAAGCTGACAAGTAGATTTCAATTCAACTCTTTGAACTCCTGTAAAGCTCATAATAAGAACGTGTTTGTAACAGGACTGTCAACCTGGCACAGAGACGTTAATTATAGGGGGAACAGCCGAATCCTGAGATTCATGGTAATAAAGTAATTAAGATGGGAGCAGCTCAACACTTGTCATTCAACATAATCGTACCACATTTGAATAAATATAAATTCTATTAGAGGTGTCCACATTTTTGCAGGTGATAGATGTTTTATAAAACAGGATATCTTAATAAATCATCTAATGCAGCCAATAATAGTTCTAGACGAGATTTCATTCAAATAAGTTAGGTTGACACAAGGATTTTGCATCCTTGTGTCAAAATCACTGTTGATTACCTATTTATTTTGTTTAAATACTAGAAGCAGAAGGAAACAGCCATCTGGTGGGTTAGAAAAGAGTTTCCTTTATTTTAACTGGTAGCATTGCATTTTTGGTAATTTTTAACACAGAGAACTAAAATATAAAAAGGTTTTTAGGATTCATTCTTGGCAGCACCTTCCTGGAATCTGTCCTACAGTCTTTTTGTGAGGCTAAATTAATAAACGAGAGAGATATCATTACAGATATTGTCTTATATTGTTCTTTGTTAGTGATCTGGCATGTACAGTATGTATAAATAGCTTAATAGAATATTTAAATGAATTTTTCATCAACACGAATGTCAGTTTAATATTGAAATGTATTAAGATATTTGAACTGCTCTTTTTTGGGGTGGAAGGATAAGGCAACCACCCTGCATCGATACAGATTCAAAATATTTAGGAAGGATCATAATCCTGATGAACTAACTGCACATATATAATGTTTTAAGGTGCAGTTTCTCACTAAAAAGCAGGTTCAAATTTTTCTTTTGGTACTCATTAAAGCAAATAAAGTCAAGTCACTTTCTCAACTTTGAGGAAAAGAGCAGAGGAGTGGAACAGAGCATTCAAAGCTTGTTTTTGATGCTTAAAAGCATTTGTTATAAATGGACCCTTGCAGTTTCCCTTAAAAGGACTGAAAAAAAAAATTATTACGAGATTTATTGTGATCTTAATAAATTCCTCAAATATATTGTATGTTAGGGCATACCATACTGTAAATGTGTTTTTTTCCCCCTGAAACTTTACGAGGAGCTCTAACATAAAATATCAAAAGGGTGTGTATAATTTAGAATATATATTCTGATAAGTTTTTTTTCTGATTATAAGGACCTTTTGAATATAAAAACCTCTGTGAAAGAATTATATAGTTGTTTTAATATTACCACATATCTGTATTAGAAACAGGCTTTTCCTATTGCTTATATTTGAATTGTTTGCTGTAGATAGAAAATCATAGCAATGACCAGAAATCATGTGATTCACTTCATGGTTGCTGATGGTGACAATTTTAATACAAATTTTAATTAATAAAACTGTGTTTGATGTGCAAATCTATAGTTCAGGTCATTATTGTAAATAAGAATTATTTCTATACAATAATAATCCTTTTTTTTAATGTATCAAAGGTAATCAAACTGGATTCATTTCTGCCTTAAACTATAAATGTTCAAAGTAATTTTTTAATTTTTGGACTTTAAATAAGGGTTATATCGATGACTCTTATGTTAACTTCTAACTGGTAGTGTATTTGTTCATGGTAAGTGGATTCATCTATATTTTTAACCACTGCAATGCTAATTAGGATGCAAAGTGATAAAATACATTTTCAGGTCTAAATATATTTTTCTCACCTGTGTACGATGTTCCCCAACGGAGAACTGAACAACAGCAAAGTTAGGTGAGGTGTGGCTGCCTTCAATGCGCTCCACTGTGGATGAATCAATCTTCAGCTCACTGCTGATCTCTGCACTCTGGATGAAGTCCTCTGTCTTCAGGTCCTCCACGCGCTTCAGCTCGCCGTCTGCCAGTTGGATGATGGAACCCTTGATAAAATATGGTGGGAGTGAGGGAGGCCCCGCTGTACTTGAATGGGTTGGAGGAGTGGAAGCTGCAACTAGCCCCGGAGGAGCAGAGACGATGGGGAGATGGAGCTGGGCTTGAACCACTGCGCCTGGGGCAGCAACATGGAAGGAGCCACTTTGGGTTTCCAGAGTTTCTCCTTTTGGGGCAGTGGCAGCGATGTATGTATGTGGGAGTGTAGCAGGAAAAGGTGCAGCTTGGGTTGATGATGTAATGTGAGAGGTTACAGGCTCCAGTGTGGGGACGCCACCGCCACTAACTGGGATGATGACTGGTTGACTGCCTGGAATGAGCAAATGTTGCTGTAGGCCGGTGTGGTAGCTGCTCCCACTGCCCCCTGTAATGTAACCAATTAGAGGTTGCTGTGGGTAGATGCTTGTCGAAGGGAGTCCCAATGACAGTGGCTCTGAGGTGTTGTGGGTGGTCTGAATAACAGTCTGGGGCGGCAGCGTGCTAACAGCTGCTTTCAGGCTGTCTGCACTATGTGTAGGTGGAAAAGTGAAAGAGCAGGTGCTGTTGGATGAGGAGGGCGGGCGACTGACAGGCTTACCCATGCTGCCTCGCTCCAGGTGTGCAGGGGAAGAAGCTGTCAGCTTCTCAGAGCTGCCTCTGGGTGGTACCAGCTGGTGGTCCCCATGGCTATTAGGCATTAACATGACAGAGGTTCTCAAGCCCAAGTGATCATGAGTAGAGTACTCTGATGGCAGAACCAGATGACGGGCCTCGAAGGAAGACAAGGAGGACCTCTCCTCCCTTAATTTTACTCCCAACTTCGAGAGGCCAGACTCTGATGAGTGTCCAAACCTCCTACCCCTCTCCAGCTCACCGTTGTGGAGCTCTCTGGGTCTGGTACCTTCCTCCTTTCTGCTGTACCCATCGTTATATTTGTGGGGATGAATGGACTGGGAAGGTAGATGAGTTCCTCCTTGGTGATGAGGCGAAGACACAGTCCTTGGAGATGTTGACATCTGAATATGGTGGGGATAAGGGTCCGTAGAAGGAGGAGGCATGGAGGTTCGCCCAGCGGATGCTCGATGGTCCTGTTTGGAGGCCAGCGATGGAGCAGGTAACGTCTCTGTGTATGAGTGTCTCTGTGTGGCTGAAGAGGAGTGGGGAGGGGGAGGAGGAGGGGGGAGTATCTGAGGGGAAATATAGCTCGTATATGGAGTAGTGTAGGATGAGGCGATGAACTGCATATTGGGAGGCAGTTGTGCGTAATGGACTGTTCCTCCTATTGTGGACTGCGATAGGGGGGATGTATACACCGTGGGAAGAGATGATACTAGCCTCAAAGACGAAGAGGAGGAGGAAGAGTCTGATAAGGTGGAGGGGGATTTATACAGGGGCCCATCCGTTTTATTAGAGCTATGATGTGCACCAGTACTGCTTTCATTTCCACCAGCAACAGAGACATAGCAGGCAGAGTTCTCAGACCTGTCGCTAACAGGTGGTATAGCAGGAGAGCGACTCTCAGGTGGTAACGTGCTGGACGTGCCCCTCTTTTTGGGTGGCAGACATTCATTGCTGCGCTCCTGGTTGGACTTCATGTTCAATTTTACCTCAAGTCTCCCAACTACACTTGCTTTATCCTCTCTCTAGCTGTGCTCCAATACCCTTTTCTTTTGTTGTTTTTTTTCACTTGAACTCTGACCGTCCTGTTCACTTTCCTTAGATCCTTTTTTTTTACTTTTAATGCTTAATTCTTTTTTCAGATTATTAATCAATGTCAATTTCCATTTCACTTGAATAAAAAAAATGTTCAAAACTGACAGGTGAGGGTTTGAAAAGAAGATATGGGTGGGTAGTTAATGGGAGGAGTGGGGCGGCCTGATCTGTCCAGGAACCTTTAGTGGCTGAGGGGAGAGCCTAGTCTGGTAGGGCAGAGCGTCACAATATTATGCCTGCTGCTGCTGCAGAGGATGATGGGGGGCCGAGTGTGTTGTACTTCATGTGGAATCATTTCCCTCCAAAAGAAAGTCTTCCCACACTGAGAGGAAACCTGTGGGGCAGAGAAAAACATGTTTTAAAGGACTGAAAAGTGGAAGGGGTAAAGAGACATAAAAACTGGCAGAAGGAATATAAAGTGACACATTTTATAAAAAAATCTAAAACACTTCTTAAAATGCAGTATTGAATTGTCTTATTTGTTTTAGAAAGAATAAAATGTGATCAATTTGCAAGTAACATTTCCATCGGTAGGTATCTAAAAAGAAGAGTTTAAATATGTCTAAATGGAATATCAGCTTTTGCTTCCTGTTAATAGTTACAGAACAAAACTTATCTGAGTAGCCGTCATCTTCAGATGCAACCAGATATTTGTATCCACTGTTTGAGATTAAATCAGCCTAAATTTCCGTAATTCAGGCCACTTAAGATTACCATAATAAGATACATTTCAATATTACTATTTTCAAAATGCACCATAACATAATTTAAGAGATGTTTTAAATAAAATGTAAACAAGAGTATTAGATTTTATGGTATAATCCAAATCATGATGTCATGGCTTTGTGGACTTCTGACAGCTTGAGTTTATTTGTTTCAAGGCGCACCCTCAAACACCTTCAAAAAATCAGCAAAGATATCAGAAGAAAAAAGATTGACCTCCTCAGTTTCTTTCCAATAAAACTTCTATAGTCTAAAGGTTCATGCAATAATTCCACCAATCATATGAAAGCTTAAACAGTTGGGAGAGTCAAGTCATCATAGCTCTTAGGAGGGGAGCAGGTGGGTTCGATGAAAATATTTTTATAAAACCTGATAATCAAAGCATAAAACCTTGTAAAAATGCTGACTGAAACTGGCAACAGGAAGTCATTATCTACAGGTACATCTGAGCTAAGATTAGCTGAAAGCCATTCAACGCAAAAGAAGCCAAAAAATCTTAAACCAGATAAGTATTTGCACATTTACGCTGGTAAAAGAACTTTATTTTGAAGACATTGCGTATGATCTAACAAAACCAAAATGAAAAGGTTTTGATATAATGACTTTTGGCAGCAAAACGGTGAAGCTTGCAATATTCAACAATATTGTGACTGAAGTACTGGGGAGGTGGCATCATGTTGTGTGGTGGATTCGCTGCAGATCGTCTTCTGCTGCAGAAATGGGTATAAATGAACTCCCGAATGCTGAAGTAATGGCAGCAAATGCAAAAACAGAAGAACGGCTTCAACGCATGGTTGTAACTCAACTTTGATTATAAATCTTTACAGAAATGAGATTATGATTATTTCAAGATAAAGCTCAGATTGGAAGATTTTTAATTTCACAAAACAAACAGGTTTTGGCTTACCTTTTTTTAGAATATGTTTTGAAGGAACCTTTTTGGAGGAGAGTTAAAGGTATGAAAAATAATTTTTTTCACAAACAAATAAGTGTCCAGATTAATCTAAAATGACTTTATTGATGGATGGCATTCTTGCAGGTAAAATCCATCAACTCTGGCCGTGGTGGTGCCTACGGAACATTAGCCAATCTACTTGGCCTACTGTCGAAAGTGAATTGGCTACTTGTTTCTCAATCAAAATACGTGGCTTTTTTTTTTTTTTTTTTAACCAATTTGTTCACTCTTTTGTGTAAACTCGAGCATCAATGGCCAAAAGAATCCTGACAAACTTAGCTAGAGAAGAAAGCCGTTTTATGATGTAGTGTGTTTAGGAGATTCTTTTCAGACAGTTGCCCTGAAGGAGCAAAGGGGTCTGAGAATGGATGCTTTGCTGAACCGATAAATTATGTTTGATCCTGTAGTAAGTGCTGTAGTTTTTAAATTATGAAACAAGCAGCAGTGAGAACACATCAACAAATTGTAAATATAACTTGCAGTGATAACGCCAGCAGAGACCTCTTCTTATGGAGATTTCCTGCTGACTAGGTTCATCCTGGCACTTTTCTGCCTCTCTAGGTGGAATACAAAATAACCGGTGGAGGCGTTTCCAGTGTAGGGAACTTTTGTGAAGGAGGGGGCACTGACGCATGTGCATGGTTAAAAAATACGCTAACAGCCGTTGGACATACAGTATCTCCCATCACAGAATCCTCTTCCCTGCCTTTTAGCATTCTTCACCCAGCAAACTGAGATGCATCAAGGCGCTATATTGTTTTGTTGCTCTCTTTTTTGAACCCGCCGGGCCAGAATGCAATGCGTGGCAGCCATGTATTCAAAACTCTTGATACATGTAAAAGAATAGTAGGTTGAGGTGACATAAGATGGACCTCAGGTGTTGCCGGATCCTCGTTTCATGAAAGAAGCTGAGAAGCTTCTGGTTGACATTACATTTCTCAGATTCAGAGTAAAGAATCAAATAAGAAGAAAAACTGGTGAAGATTTGGGGTGATGGTGCCAACTTAACGAAGCAAAGGGGCTCAGCAAACGTAGCTATTTCTTTTGAAAGGGAAATTAAATGTTTGCCGATGCAAGCATCAGCATTAACGCACCTAGCAACTGACTCGCAAACAGTACGGATCCAGAGCAGGAGAGAGGGAGAAGTGCCACTTACTGGCCGCAGGGTTAAACTTGAAGCTATCACCTTTAGCTTTTTACTTATAAACAACGTCTCCTTTACTAAATTTGACAAAAAAACAAAGAAACTTTATGTAGATTTAAAATCAGTACGCTAAAAGCACATGTTAATTTCAGCTATCCACTGTATTTGTAATAAAAGCCATCCAGAAAAACATGCTTGCAAAATCTACTGCCTGCTAAGGTAAATAGGAACTATATTCCAAGTCTCTAACAGGCAAATAATACTCAGTGCTGTGTGTAGAAATCTGTTAACTATGTAACTTTGAATATATATCTGTGATGTGTACCATCTGTTAAATATGGCTCCCTACTGCTAAAGAAGAACAGCTTGGCGTGAGCTTATAAATAATGTACAGGAACTTCAAAAACCTACTCTTATAAATACACCCTCGCTCATACATAACCTAGCACATCACTCCAGTGCACACAAGTGGTGACATCTGGTTGTTTGCAATTATGTTCACACTCTATTCTTGAAACCCAGACCTACCTCTCAGGCATTGTGGTGCAGTAAGAATTTGAGGTGACATGCATATCTTATTGCAAAATAGCACATGATAGAGTGTAAGTCGTAGGACACACCATGAATCTACTGAATATGTAGATTCATGGTGTGACAACAGGAAAACAGTATTTTCTAAATATTCTATAATGAAATGTGCTTAATTGAAAACATCAATATATTTTTTTTTTTAAATAAGCAATACCTGCTCAACTAAAAGCAAATACTAAACTGGAGTGAGGGGTTAGATTTCAAACATCTAACTCTCTTGTGTTAACACCTATAGTGTGGATAAGAGCCTGCCATAAAAAAAAAAAAAAAAACTTTTTGAAGTCTGCTTCATCTGTTGAAGTTCATCGTGTTGAGCCTGTCTAAGTATAGTTATAGTCAGATATAAATATATATAGATATACATAACAATTTTGTTCAGCAACTACCGGTTGGTTGTCCTGCGTGCCTATCTCAATTTTTTCCCTGCAACCTACGTAATGGTGGCAATGTTGACCGCTCTCCTTGGCTGTCCTCTTTTTTCAATGTCACTACCACTTTTTGGGACACTCATGTGGGCAACATCCATCTAGGCTGAGATCCAGGACTTTCTTTACCAAGCAATTTTTCATTTTCATTTAACGTGTGTAACATCTAGATGGTTTTGTTTGGCTGTGCACATAGCGTATCCTGTATTCCTGATAACCAGATGGAGCTTGTCCTTCTACCCTTATTTGAATACATTTTTCAAAAATATTGCTAAACGATAACCTTTCAGATTTTATAACCCTGATTACTTTATTTCTTGCAAAGCAGTACTCACGGCATTATCTTTGTACACTGAATGTCTCCCACTCTCATTGAACCAAAAGAAGGGAGAGAGGATGCATTTGATAAAAAAAAGAAGAGAAAATTAAAAGCTTGAATCCTAAGAGGAAATATGGGATAGTAAACATTTGCAGGCACACAACTAAGTTTGAACACCAAAGTAGTAAAAGAAATTCCAAGGGGCAGACTTTTTTCTTCATGTTTTTTTTTCTTCTTCATCAGCGTTACACTGGAGCAATACTGCCCCCCAAAAATTGGATAAGGTTGCATATTTAAAAATCTCTGCTTGAAAGCAAACTGCAACAACTGAAGGTGTAGACTCGATCACTTTAATGATTCCCTGCACAGCTCCATGGACCATTCTATAGTGAATATGCCCTCTGAGGGCATTCAAAGCATTACTCTACAGGGAAATAAACACCTACAGTATCTGCAAACAATACATAAACTGAGTCAGACAAAGTACGCATGAACATATGCAGACTTGGTTGTACAAGTTCAAGGGTAGCAAACATGCATTCATTACCAGACAGGCAAGTTTTGTTTTACAGAATATCAACATTTCTGTTCAGTCTAGCAACTGTGACTCAGAGGTGTGTTGAATGGTGATGTTGATAGGTGATGTTTAAATGCTGAGGTGTACTTTTCTTTGGCTCGCTTCTTAGTCTGCCTCCACCATATTCTCATGCCTCAACATGCCCACCTCTCCAGCAATATAATTTCACTCTCAATTATCATTCTTCCTCATAATGGTTTAATGTTCTCAGTACTCTCGTCTTAGAGTATTTGATTTTTGCTTCTTATTACCTGCTCTGTCTTAATTTGGCTCTTGGCATATTTGCTTTAGTGTCCAAAAAGAGAATGGGTACAGCAGTTAGTGCTCACGATTAAAAAACTTTCTCTAATTAGCCAAAGCTTTCTAGCAAAAAGCCGGATAAGAAAAATATTGATGTATTGGGACAGATATATTTTAGATGTCATGCTGACAAAAACATTTAGTCCAGCAACAGACTTATTCAGACTTCAACATTTAAAACACTTTACCGTAGAATTTTAAGCTTGGCAATGCAAGAATAAATGGTAAAAATCTTGGCAAAATATATGCAACTAATTAGACTTAGCTCTGTCTTACCAGAACTGTGGTTCTTCAAGAACA